GGGGATAATAGCAGCCCCTCTCAGAGGGCTGAGGGGAGAACTACAGTTATTGCAAGTACAACAGCTAGAATGGTGTTTGGGCAATGCCACGTACGTGGTGGACGTTACCAATAATGGTGGTGGTGTTATTCAAGGAGTTGGTACCTAGCCGGCAGTCCTGCCATCTGTTGGAGGGATGGATCTGGGGACAGCTGGGGACAGGCATCTCCTTGGCACACAGCAATATGCAGGAGTGTAGCTCACACAGGTGGTGTCCTAGGTGCAGCTCTCCTCAGGGCACGACGTTCAGTGGGGCACAAGAGCTGCTCTGGGGACCTGCTCTTTGGGACTCTAGTGTATAGTATCTGGGACCTGGCCATCCAGGTAGCACCATGGCGTGGGCACAGGCATCAAGCCGAAGGCAGCTGCGTTTGTGGCATATGGATGTGCTGCCTCCACCGGGCAGGCCTCCTGGGATGAGAGGGGGACCTCAGGATCAGGGACGTCTGAGGTATGAGCTTGAGACATGCAGCTGTTGGAGTGTGTCCTGGGCTGGGTGCACAGAGCGAGGGATAGGGGTGGGTGAGTGTGTCTCTGTGTGACTGTATGAGGGAACGTGGTTCGTCTGTGGGGAATACAGACGAACAATAATGATAACTTACTCGTTCATTCCTTTGTCCAATGTTTACTGAGCACCTATCATGTGCCAGGCACCACCATAGATGCTGGGAACCAAACTGCACAAAACAGATGCAGCACCTGCCCTTGGGGAGCTTACCCTCGGGTGTGGGCTTGTAAGAGGCCAGATGGTGACAGATGTTATACAGAAAGTAAAGGAGAGAAGGTTCTGGAGACGGGCAGGGTGCGGTGTGATTTGAGGCAGTCAGGTTGGCCTCATTGAGAAGGTAACATCTGAGCAGAGACCTGAGAGAAGGCAGGCACACACTGGGGACCCTCTAGCATCCAGACAGAGGAAAGAGCAAGAGCAAAGGCCCTGAGGCAGAAGTGTCTGCAGCCTGCTCTGGAAACTGTGAAGAGGCCAGTGTGGCCTGAGGTCAGTGAGTGAGCAGGGGAGGAGGCAAGGGCTAAAGTCAGAGAAGTAGCCCAGCCTGCGGAGAGAGGGCCTGTAAACCGAGATGATGTCCCTTGCCCTTGTACCTCGTGAGACTGGCCCAGCTGAGAGGCTGTGGAGCAGGGGAGGGGCAGGGTCTGCCTCGGATGTTGACAGAACCCCTCTGGCTGCCTGTGGGAACAGACTGGGAGGGAGGGCAGGGGAGGATGGAAGTGGGAGACCAGTGAGGAAGGATTCTGATCTCAGGGAGAGTTGCGGGGCGGGAGGGATGAAAAGTGGTCAGATCTGCATGGGTTACTGAGCATTTAGCTAGTCGGCCCCCAACAGCCCTAGGAGGCCAGTACTATTATTACCCCTGTTTCACAGCATCTTCTGCAGCTCAGAACAGTGAAGTCACTGGCCTGAAGTCACACAGTCAGGAAAGAGCAGACCCAGGATTCAAACCCAGCCCGGCCGACGCTTGATCCATGTGCTCGGCTATAGCTATTTGTCTCCTGTGGCCTGTGGATGTCCGGGTTTTGAGTGTGGAGGCAGCCTTTGTCAGCATCTACACCAGTGCCTGCACGTAGTAGGGACTCAGAAAATATCTGTGGGCTAGATGGGCAGACGGACGAATCCAACAAATGAACGCGCTGCCTTGCCCATTTTGCAGAAGTGTATGGAGAGGCAGTTCTCAGGCTCTGGCTGAGGTCCAGGGGAGAGGGCTGCATCTAGGGCTGGGTTTCTCTGTGGCATGAATGGGGGCTGGCCCTTGGCCGAGGACTGGGTGACGATGTTGTTGGCCCAGGTTCGCTGGTATATCAGCCATGAGGGTAGGAGTAAAGGGCTGTGTGGTGTGGTGAGGGGCTTGGGGGAGCTCCTGGAGGTGGCTCCCGCAGGGAGACTGTGCTAGGTTGTCAGCCCTTTGGGCTGGGGGGACAGGTGCAGGAGGGGTGGTTGTGGGCAGCAGTGGGGGGTGGGGTCAGCGGTGGCCCAGCCTGGTTATGCAGCAAGTCTGTGCCATGAGGCCTGAGTCCCGAGGCCCAGGCTTGGCACAGCCCACACACCCCCCCTCCCAGGGCAGCCCAGCCAGCAACCTTCCTCCCCCGTTTCCCCGACCTTCCCCTGCCGCCCAGAACCAATGGGTTAATTAGATAACGGAGCCTTTGATTAGCAGGGGAGGGGGAGGCCTCCCAGTGCAGGGAAGGGGGAGCGAGGAGGAGGGAGGAGAGGCGCCCTCCCCGTTCAGAAGGAGAGAAAGAAGGAGGGAGGAGGGAGGGAGGGAGGGAGCTGAGGCACAGCTTGGCTCTGCACTGCCGTGTGACTAGAAATTGTAATCGCGGAGAAAGAGACAGACAGAGCCTGGCCAAGAGAGAGACCAAGACAGACGGACAGACAGAGAATCTGACCAAGACGGTCTCCCCAGCCTACCAGAGGGTGATGGGGATGGAGCCAGAGTGAGGAGGAGATGGAGGAGAAGGAGAGAGGGGGCCTGGTCGTCCCGAGGGAGGCAAGACAGTGAGAGGAGCCTGAAGAGGGGCCTGGGGCCCAGGAGGTGGACAGGGACAAGGCCGGGGGACCGGCAGAGAGAAGGGGGCTCGGGGCAGTGGGGGGAGAGAAAAGAGGCTGGCGGTGGGGGGAGAGTGGAGGTAGAGGTGGGGGTGGGGGTAGGAGACAGGAGGAGGCCAGCAGGGAGGGGACGGGGAGATGGCTGCAGTGGCCTAGACGGGCCTCCCCGGGGTGGGAAGGGCGACCGGCGAGGAGGGGGGGGCGCGGGGAGACCCAAGAAACCCCTGCGCCCCCCCCCCAGCACGACCTCAAAGGAAGCCCTGGAGAACTGGGAAGGCAGAGCCCCCCGGCCCGCTGGAGGCATGTGGAGTGGGGGGCCTGGGGCCCAGGGAGAGGCCCAGCGGAAGCGGAGTCACCGGGGTGAGTGTCCCTCATTGTGGGGGGGGGACAAGGGCGGAGACAGCTGAGGGCAAGGAGGGAAGGGGCGGGAGGCCCAGCCGCTGCAGAAGCTGTGGGGGGGGGGGGGGGCGGGCTGTCTGCAGGAGAGGGGGGGAGAGGTGGGGGGGGAGCGGCGGCGGCGGGCGTGGGCGGGGGGGGGCTGCGGGGGGGGGCCTCCTGGCCTGGGGGTTCTCCAGCTGCAATTTCTGGCCCCGTAGGGCAGCGCCGGCCCCTGGGTTTGAAGGGTGTAGGCTGGGTCATCACCGGTCTTAGGAGGTGGGAAAGGGAACGGCGGGTGCGGGAGCAGGACCGGCAGACAACCCCCCCATCACACTGGAGAAGCGGAGACCCCTCTGCACTCACATGACTTGCAGACCGAGGCACACACAGCCCCTAGCCCCCCAGGGGGAAAGGAGTCCGGGATACAGATGCAGAACCAACCCCTCCCCCCTCTCTGTCTCTCTCGGTCTCTCAGTCTCTCGGTCTCTCACACAAGCATTCAGGCGCACAGACTATGCACACGCATTTTTGTCTGAGTTAAAATGATCTTGAAAACTGCAGAAGGAGGGAGTGAATGTGTGTGTGTGTGTGTGTGTGTGTGTGTACACGCACGGGGCGGGGGGTGGCCCTGTGTCCGTGGCTCTGAGAGCCCACTGTCTGAGGGTGTGCCCGTCACTGCCCTGCGGTGCATGCTGTGCGGCCCGCTTCCCTCGGCCCTCCCCGGTGGGGAAGTCGTTCGGTGCTGGAGCGGAGCCTGCTGCTGTGGGCACCCTTGTGTGTGTACTCAAGACGCTGCGTGGAAGGGAAGGTGCCCCCGGGCCACAGTCTCCCTCTGCCACCCACCGGCCAGCTCCGTGCTGGGACGAGTTGCGCCCCCTCCTAGCGCCTCAGTGTCCTCATCTGTAGATTGGGCGTCCTAACACCTTCCTCCTCCGGTTTCTGTGAGGCTTAAATGAGAACACCATGTGTGCTGAGTCTGGGGCACAGAAAGGGCTCCCCCCAACGCTGAAGCTATTATTATTACAGTTCTTGCCATTGTTGTTATGGTCCGTCCGCCCCCCATCCCCGGGCCCCACCCGCGCACCCCCGCCCAGAGCCCCGCCCCCAACCCCTTCCCCACCAGCTGTCCCAGCACCAACCCACCCACTGGAGCCACCCACCATCCGCTGCCTTTGCCCTGAGCACCTGCAACCTCAGGGCCGCCGGCGGTCGGGGGGTGGGGGGTGCAGCCCTGCCAGGGCCCCCTCGGCCACCCCCTCCCCCTTTGTCTTCTCCAGCCGGCCTCCGCCCTCCCGCCCCGCGGCCTCCCAGCCTTTCCTGCCCACACTTCACCTCCACTGTTGTCTTGTCTGGCACCTCGCCTTCTCCAGGTTCTTCCTTTGAGCCTAACTCAAGTCTCTGTGGCTGCTGCGAGGCCACGGCCTGGACGGGTGCCGGGAGTCTGACGGGAGCCTGCGGCGGGGCCCCGTGTGGAGCGTGCTTGGTGCTGGGGAGCTTGTCTCTTGGCAAACACTCCTGGGCGGGAGAAGGATGAGGGAGCAGGAGGTCCTGCAGGCGTCGGGAAGACTTGGGAAGCCAGACTCCAGACCCCCGGCCCCCACCCCAGACTTCCGGACCTGGCACATCACCCTCTCTCTGTTCCTTCGTCTGTTTGTCTCTCTTTCTCTCCCTCCCTCTCTACCTCTTTATCTACCTTTCTGAAACCGTGCAGAGAACTAAGTTTTGAATCAGACTGACTTCTCCATTACTGGCCAACTGCCTTGGGCAGCCTTTCTCTCCCCACCCCACCCCTGCCTCGGTTGTCAGTTCTGCGAAATGGGTATACTCTTCCGGTCAGGAATGACGAGACAGTGCAAGAAGGGTAGGGTTGGCCGGAGCAGGGAGGTGATGGTGGCCAGCAGAGAGCCGCCTGGGGGTTGGGAAGCAGGCGGGCCACACACGGGGTCCCTGTCCTTCACTGAGCCTCTCGCTCTTTCTCCACCCCACAGCCCCCCGGCGCCCTCGCGGAGCATGAACATTGAGGATGGCGTGCGCCCGCAGCTCCCCGTGCCCCCCACTGCCGCCCGGTAGGATGTCCTGGCCCCATGGGGCCCTGCTCTTCCTCTGGCTCTTCTCCCCACCCCTGGGGACCGGCGGGGGCGGCGTGGCCATGACATTGGCGGCCGGAGGGGGCTCCCCGCCGGCCACCTCCTGCCCCGCGGCCTGCTCCTGCAGCAACCAGGCCAGCCGGGTGATCTGCACGCGGAGAGAGTTGGCTGAGGTCCCGGCCAGCATCCCTGTCAACACGCGGTACCTGAACCTGCAGGAGAACGGCATCCAGGTGAGCTGGGCCAGCAGCCAGTGGGGGCGGGGGGGGGCACAGGTGGTGGCCGGGTCCTCCTGCTCGAGCTGGCACAGGCCTTCTGGGTGTCCCCTTGGCACTTATGAGATCCTGCTTGCATCCTGTTAACTTGAGCTCAGTCTGTCTGGGTTTTCTCGCGCGAGGTTCCCTGTCTTTGTGCCAGCGTGTTGGGGCTCAGGGGTAGGACCATCTGCCTGCCTCCCACAGTGCAGGACAGGTGAGCCCATGGCCTAGCCCCGGAGTCACAGGTGTGCAGAGCGACCCTTGCACGAGGCCTCTGTGCTGTCCACACGGCTCTACCTGCGACATGGCCTTGGGCTGCTGAGGGCATGACTTTGCGCCTCAGTTTCTTTATCTGAAAAATGGGGCGATGACAGAGCCCCTGCCCCCAGGGGCTGGGTGAGGACTGATGGGTTTCATACTTGTCAAGGACTTAGAATCTTCTGACACCTGGTGAGCACTCCTTAGCTGTGCAGCGTGGAGCTCGTGTGCCCGCTTCCCGGAGGTGGTGTGACATTTGGAGATAGATCTAAGCTCTCTCACTTGCCCGGTCCCGTGTCGGCCTATGGCTGGGGCTCCGATGGGGCACTTGCCATCCGATTCGCTGTGACCGTGACTGAGGTGGGCTATAAATGATGCTTTGAGAGCAGAGCTGTGCGTTTTTAATGCAGGGTCTCTACTCTGTTGGCATCTGGGGCCTGGTGGGCTCTGGTTGTGGGGGCCGTGCCCTGTGCTGTAAGATGTTGAGCAGCATCCCTGGCCACTAGACACCAGCAGCAACAACCCCCGCCCACTTCCCCAGATAGCTCCAGATGTTGCCAGATATTCGGGGAGGAGGGATTGCCCTAGTTGAGAACGACCATTTTAAAGACATGTGTCAGTACCCCACACCACGCAAGCCTCTCCTGACCCTGGTCCATAAAGCCAGGAGAGAAGAGGGTTCCTGTGTGGTGTCCCAGGCCACTGGGAGCTAACATCCCTTCCCCCATGGCACACCCTGGTCTGTCCCTGGGAGGGGAAGGGGTCGGTGTTCCCCATCGCCCTGTCCTGGAGAGCCTGGGGATGGGGTTCCCCTCTGCAGAAGAGAGGGGATCTTTTAGGGACACAGCACCAAGGGGGCTTGCCACCATCAAGAAGGCTGTCCTGGGTGGCCACGGAGCAAGGGCCAGTGAAGCCAGAGTTGGGGTCCAGAAGCGGAAGGGGCCTTGTCCCATTGCCCCAGCCCTGCTCCTGCAGGATGGTGTCCTCCAGCTCCAGGCCCTCCTCCTCAGCAGCGCCCCTTCCCTCCCCGTGCGCTTTGAGTCCACCCTGCATTCTCAAGCTCTAGTCTCAGCTGACCAGCCCCTGACTCCTGGAGGGGTACTGACACCCTCACTCCGCTCTCCCCTTACATGCCCTTGTTCCCCGGACTCTGTCTGTCCGTTTCCGTCCTTCATTTCCTCATGTGACGATCAAGACGTGGCCAGCGCCAGCTCAGTGCCAAGCCCTGGTTTTGGCCGTGAGCGGGATGGGCCGGCCCCTTCCCTGCTTCTGGGCGGCTCACCTTGCGGAAGGGAAGAAACAGTAAACAGACGGGATGGCACGTTTCCGGAAGGGGCGATGTTTGCGCATTAGGAAGTGCTTCTGTGACGAGGGGCTGCACCCACAGACTCGTCCTGGCGACCAGAGATGCCCTCCCCCAGGCCCAGACCAGCCTCCCAGTGGCCACCGAGGCGTGCTCGCCTCTGCCTAAAACCCCCTGCAGGTTCCTAGACTCTGGAATGAAGTCCAGGCTCTTTATTGTGATAACAAGTCCTGTGCCGCTGGGCACAGCCTGCCAGCCTTATAGTTGACACCAGTTGCCCTCCCAGGGCTGAGAAGTTGCTCAGGCCACCGCTCTGCCTGAATTCACCTCTCTCTGGCCCTTGGGTCCCACAGGCAAGCCTCTCTTCACTGCCTTCCAGTCTGGGCCCACAGACTCCCCCTCCAGACATCCGTGCCCTCGCCCTTGACGCCTGTGTTTGTTAAATATCTCTTGGTTGTCTTCTGGGTAGGGGGCAGTAGTCTAGGACAACCAACACTGCACCTCCCCCAGCCTGCATTCTAGACATAGGCATGATCAGTAATAAGTAAATGGTGTGTGTTCAGGATGCTGAGGGCTGTGGGAAAAGGAAACAGATGGGGGAAGGGGATGGTGGGTGCAGGAGGAGGGGTGGTTGGCTGCAGCTTCAAAGATATGAAGTCAGGGTGGCCTCATGGAGAAGGTGACATTTGAGCAAGAGATGAAGGTGGAGCCTTGTGGAAGGGCCTTCCAGGCAGGGAGGACCGCAAGTGCAAAGGCCCTGGGGTGGGAGCCTGCCTGGTGTGTGGGAGGAACAGCGACAGGCTGGTGTGACTGGAACAGAGAGAGCCAGGAGCGAGGTTGGGAGGTGAGGGCAAAGTGACAGATCCTGCAGGGCCTCATGGTTATGGTGAGGACTTGGGCTCTCCTCTGAATGAGACGGGAGCCATTCTGAGCGGAGGGCAGGTGGGCTGCTGACTTGGGTCTCTCTGGCCGAGGTTTGGGAGGCCTATAGGGCACATGGATCAAGCGCCAGGGGGCCTGGGTTTGAATCCTGGATCTGCTGTTCCCTTGCTGGTGCAGAATTCGGGAGAGAAATGCCGGGAGCTCGGCTGGGACCAGGCTGGTTGCGGTGGAGGTGGTGAGAAGTGGGCAGATTCTGGGTCTGTTTGGAAGGTGGAGACAACAGGATTTTCCAGCAGAGTGGGTGTGGGAAGAGGGAAGAGAGGATGACTCCCAGGCTTTAGGTCTGAGCTGGCCCCTTTGCTTGGGCCTGTTTGCTTGGGTGTCTGTCACCCCGTCTCCCAGGCCTCTGGCTTCCAGACTTTTGATCCACATCCCTGTCAGAGGAATGGAGCCCCATGGACGTGGGTGAACTTATTTGTAAGTCATGCGCAGGTCTGCTGTAGGCATGTGTCGTGTGCCCTCAAACTGCCTGCTCCCCCAGGGTGGAGAGTACCCTGCCCCCAAGAGTGGACTCTTGTGAACATTCAGTGAAACGGGCCTCCCTTCGGGGACACCCTGCAGGTGGGGGGCGGGAGTGAGGCTGCCGAGGGAACCATCAGAGGAACTTGAGGAAATAACTTTTTAATTAGCCAAATAAAAATATGAAAAAAAGAAAAAAACACCCCTAGTCCCACCGCCTAGATATAAATAACTACTGTTTATATTTTGTTTTAAAGCCTTCCTGGCTCTTTCCTGTGCCCATGTCAATGGATTTTTAAATTATTTATTACAGAATGAATGCAAATTAATTTAGAAAAACTAGGAAATACACCTAAGTAAAAACACAGGGACAAAAGCCAAGCGGAATTCGACAGACAGGTAACTCCCATTAGCATCTAGTTCTTTCCGTTCAGATCCTCTCCGCGCATGCTCCCGGTGTGCGTCCGGTGGGCAGCCCTGGCCAGCGGATTTCTGCCTTTTTTTTTTTTCTTTACTTTTTGGAGAAAAAAATGAAATCACACCACTTGATACTGGTTTGCAGCTGACTCTAGACACCTGAGCGCGTAGTAGGAGCATCTTTCTCCCTGACGCTCGTCTAAAATGTCAGTGTTAGTGGCTACGTGGGATCCCGGTGCATGGCCTTCCCATTACTGCACCGGTCGCTTCTTCCCAGTGTCGGAAGTGATAGAGACAGCCCTGTGGTCAGCATCCCCGGTGCGCATTCTTGGAACTTCCCAGAACCCGCCCCTGGGATAAATTCCTAGAAGCAGAATCTCAGGGTCAGAGGGAAGACGACAGAGGTGCTGCCGACAGGTCCTGTGTGTCCTGCTCTCTGATTGTCCTCCCTCACAATGGCTGGTACTTCCGCCGCACTCGCATGGCAGTGTGTGTGCGTGTGTGTGTGTGTGTGTGTGCGCGTATACAACACACTCACATACGCGGCCTGACACCAAAGCCCCATAGAAATGGCCAGAGTTCTGGGGATGCGAGAGTCTGCCCTGTCCTGTCCGTGGTCACTTGCTTGTTGTCTGGCTCCGCACTGATGGTCACTCCCACGAGGGGGGCGCCTTCACCGTGCTCCCTGCTGTATGCCCAGCACCTGAACAGAGCCTGGTACACACTGGGTGCTCAGCAGATGTTTGTCCATGGAGAGAAGGCCGGCTCCCGAGCTCCCACCTTGAGGACTTGGCAGTGTGTGTGTGTGTGTGTGTGTGTGTGTGTGTGTGTGTGTGTCCACCGGCCTCTCTAGAACAGTGCATCCACCTTCGGGGAGGGCTCAAACACTGTTCTGAGACATGACAGGGACAGCATGTGCCCTTCAGGAGCAAAATAATTTTTAACTATCTGCAGTCTTCCATGGGTCCTTAATTGTTTCTGAGATGGGACAGGGGTGTGCAAGCCCAGAGCTCAAGGAGATACCTTCTAGGCAGAGGCCTGGAGATGCCCCTTCCCCCTACCTCCCAGTCCCCACGCCACTCAGGCCATGTGTCAGTGCCCTCACACCTCACACAGCCCCCCTGCACCCCCCCACAGGCCTGCTCCTCCTCCTAGAGGCTGGGGTCCTCCCTGGCACTGAGGCCTTGTGCCTTCTCCTCCTTCCTCCACTGCCTTGTACCCATGTCCCCACTCTGTTCCCCTCCCCCCCACAGCCAATTGTCCTAATGTGTTTACTGTGGATCTTTCTGCTTGTGTGTGTTCTTGCAAAATGCTTATTGTTGCTTTGTGTGCATGTATTTTTAATTTATGTAAATGAAGCTGCATTATAGATGGCTTTCTTTGTCTCTCTGTTTTCACCCAGCCTGGGTTTTTAAGAGCCATCCACATCGGGGTGTGTGTATGTGTGTGTGTGCGTGTGTGTGTGTGTCTACTCTGTTGCTTTAACTGCTGCAGAATTCTCCTTGATGGGTGTTCCCCCCCCCACTTCCTGCCCTCCACCTCCTAAGTCAGGACAGACACCTGGGAGGCGTGGAGCTGCCTCCACCACAAATTCTCC